CAATGCTTCAAAGACTGAACTATGGCATAGAATTCGAGATCATATGTGGAATAGTTCCTCTTTGATCCTGATAACTTCTCACTGAAAAATGCCACAGGACGCCCCTCCTGACTCAAAACACACCAATGCCAACTCCAGATGCATCACAATTAACTTCAAACACCTTTTCGAAATCTGGAAGAGCCTAAACTGGTGCCTCTGTCATCCGTTGCTTGACCAACTGAAAGCTGGTTTGTGCTTCCTCAGACCATTGGAAAGAATGTCCCTGAGGCACTTTGTGACTGGGGCAATCAAAGTTCTAAAATTCTTGATGAACCGGTGGTAAAAGGATGCCAATCCATGGAAGCTTCTGATATCGTGCAAGGTTTTGGGCTTGGGCCACTCCAAAATTGCGTCTATTTTAGATTGATTTGCAAGAACACCCTCAGTTGATACAACAAAACCCAGAAAGGTAACAGAAGTGGTGAAAAAAGAACACTTCTTCCTACTAATGAATAGACACACCGTCCTCAACACATCAAAAACTGCACGAAGGTAATCAAAGTAAGATGCCCACGTCAAGCTGTAGATGAGGATATCATCAAAATAGACCACTACAAACTTCCCCATCAAAGGCCGTAATACCTGATGCATAAACCTCATGAAAGTACTGGGTGCATTGGATAGTCCAAAAGGCATGACCATCCACTTATACAAACCATGCTGAGTTTTAAACGCCGTCTTCGACTCATCTCCCGGTCGCATTCTGATTTGGTGATATCCGCACTTAAGGTCAATTTTTGAGAAGATCCTAGAATTGGATAACTGATCCAGCATATCATCCAAGCGGGGACCTGTACTTCACTGTAATCCTGTATCAACACACATACGCCAAGAACCATCCTTCTTTGGTACTAGTAAAGCAGGAACTGCACATGGGCTCATGCTCTCACGAATGTATCCCCTCTCCAACAACTCTACCACTTGTCGTTGTAATTCCTCAGCTTCCTTGGGACTGAGGCGATAAGCCTGTCGATTAGGCAGGCTCGACCCTGGAATAAGGTCGATCTGATATTGAATATCCCTCATAGGCAGCAACCAGGGGAGAGATCTTCAGGCATCAATCAGAGAACTCCATTAACATCTGCTGCACTTCTGCTGGTAAATCTGGTTTCTCGCATGTTGTATTATTCTCACGAGGTAGTAGAGCACATACCACATCTTCACTCTTAATCTCTCCCAAAAACCTAGACATAGAAAGTAAGTTGGCATTTTTAGCTATCGGGGTAGGAGTGATTTCTTCTCTACATGGCGCCAACACAACCTCTTTTCTTTGATGCTAAGAGAATAAGTATTTTTCCGCCCATCATGAACAACACTGCGAT